CAAAATGGGCACGTTAAACATTCGCATCCTTCATAAATAATGCACCCAATGCTTTTGGCTGGCCAAATTATGCTTAACCACGACTGGGGTAAAGTAAAATAGCATCCCGATCTCTGTTAGATTCATGGACACGGTTAGCATGCAGCCGGCCCGTATATTGTAGTAATGCAGGTTTTGACAATAAATAAATTTTTTGAAAGAAGTATATATAATGAAATAATTTACTTTTAATACAAGGTGGTCGCAATTATTTACAACTATTTGATGTGAAATTTGATAGTTTGGATGTGTCACAAAGTTGAAAAAAATTTATTTTGAAGTTTGAGCTTAGTCAATTGCATAATTACGGCTACCCAACTTCATAGCCAATAGTCAAGATTATTGTGACCTCCTCGTATCAAAGGTAAATGGTCTCATTCAATACTTTTTATTTTTTAAAATATAATTTGATCATAATTTTTAGAGAATATATATTGTTTAACATATAGATTATGAATATGAAAAATAAAATAAAATTTGAAAAATAGAAATAATAATTATATTAAAAATACACTTGGGCTGTTAGTTATAATTGTTTTTAAATAGATCATCTATTTGCATCTATGTTTTAAGATGGATGCTTTATACCTCTAAACCGCATATTGGAAAAATGTGATCAAGCGCGCACGAAACAATTGTTCTATAGTGATCGTGGCGGAACAATGACAAGGACGATTGATGGAGAAAAACACGAAAATGTTCTTTTTTTGAGTGGCTGTGCTACGCTCCCGTGGGTGTAAAACTATTCATCTACTCCTTTGGACAGAAAACCCACTTGGGAGGCTTTTTTTAATTCAAAACTTTTGAAATTAAATAAGAAGCACTAGATCATTATTTTCGAAAGAGAAAATCTGGTTTTTGAGTTTTCTAATACATTATTATTTTTAAGTATATAGAAATTATGATTTGTAATTTTTCTTTTTCAAGGATTGTTTATGGGTTGACGATGTTATTTCCCTAAATTTTAGAATCCTAAACTTAATTTTAGATTGGGTTTTACCCGAGGAAGCAAATGTATGGTGTGCTCCCATGGGAGCATGAAATCTTCTGGCTTTTTTTTTCCGGGGTCAGATTTGTTTATGGTACTGTCGTGGTGCACCTCTAAAATTTGTTTAGAGACATAGTTTCGGTGTTGAAAATCTTACAGAGTGCTTGAAAATCTCTTTTTATCTCTAGTTATAAAATTAAAATTTAAAAAATAGTACCGATCAAGAAGATCTATAAACACTTGAAAATCTAAAAAATAGACTGTCTGAAAAAATCGTTATAAGATGCACTATTTTTTAGGAGTTCAAATTCTTTTTTGATTTATATCCACACATCGTAAAGCTAAGATGACTGATTGGAGTATTTTCTAATTTTGGAACACTCTCTTCTAAAGGATTTTTTATGTGCATCTTACTTCAACTTAAGGTTACATTCTTATATAACTTTTTTTTTTTTTATGCAAGCAATCAGGCAGGGTTCATTTGTTAAGAAAATTATATAAAGAGACCATTTGCTTTTAATACAAAGAGGTCACAATCACTCTTGTCCGTCTGATTTCAATTTGAGTGGTTGTCAATGTATCATTGACTAGACTCAAAATTTAAAAAAAAAATCTCAAACTTTGTATTACATTCCAAACCATCCAATTTGACGTCTAACGGCTAATAAAAATAAAATTCAAGAATCATAGTTTTAGAAAGGCAACAATAGAAATATTATTCATCCTAGTTTTAGAAAGACAATCATAGAAATATTACTCTTTCATTTTGAGAGAATGTAGCAAAATAGAAAAGTGTATATTACATATAATAAGATAAAAAAGTGTCCATTATACCATTATATCATTATTATATACACAATAAAAGAGGGCACAATTATTTTATCAAAAAGTTCCTCTCTCTCTCTCTCTACTAAAATTTCTTTTATGGTATCAAAGCAAACATCGATCCCGATCTGAGTTTTTCTTGTTGTAAGATGTTTCTCAATCGAAAGTTAAGTCTCTCACTCTCCTTTCATTACATGTGTAGTTTTGAAAATTGTCATGGAAATTTCGTGCAAATTCTTTTCTCTAGCTCCTGTTTTTCACTTAGCCATCGTCTTCACATCTCTTTAAAAGATTTATTCTCCTTTTTATTCATCCCAATTCTCATAAATCCATGTCATGAAACCCATTTCTATATCCTTTTAAACCATAGCATCATTCCCTTCTTCTTCCCTCCTTTCCATCTTTTTCTTTTCTCAAGACATCCAATACCATTCTCTCTACCTTTTAAGCTATCTTAGATAAAGATAGATAGATAGGTTATCTCTTCTTCTCTGAGATTTTTCCAAGCCCTAACTAATATATGTCATTAATCCATATTATTTCTCACGTTTGTTTAAACCAAGTCTTTCTTAGTTGATCCATTTCTTTATTAGAATATTGTTGGTGCACTTCAATATATCATCATAACACGGTCTGACCTTTTCAATAGTGTTAATACAATGTATTAATTTATGTATACGCCGGTGTATTAATACGATGTTAGTGTGGTGCATAATTATTTTATCAAAAAGTTCCTCTCTCTATCTTTAAAATATCTTTAATGGCTAATACATAATCTCATGTATACAATCTACATTTATTAAATGAATTCATTAGAAAATTTGGTTAGAAAATGGACTCAGTCGACTCACATATGATAAAAACAACTTTAAAAAATGGGATTTTTTTTTAAATGGTTAAAGATAATAGCATTAGAAGACTAAATAAATGAAAAAGATCTATAAAAAGTAAATTATTTGTTCAAAAAATCAACTCAAAAGTACTCGGCCCTTGGCCGAGCTGATCTACTTGGACGAGTCTGATTAACTCGTCCGAGTAGAGTTCGAGTTTAAAAAATAAAAATTAACGCATAAATTAGAATATATGATATATCCTTCAACTGCATAACATTAAACGCTGAATGTGTGATACTTCTTGGGTTCGAACTCTTCTTTATGTTAAAAAAATAAGATAATATAACGATAGATATATGAAGCATTGGACTTTCATTGACAATTATTTGACGCTCATTCAATGTTCTTTATGAGGGCAATGTTTGCTGAACCACTTCAGCATTTCAGACGCAATGGTAGACGATGAACAACTCTATGCCTAGGCCTGAATCACCACTTCCTTTATTTTATTTGACCAATTTGGACGCGACGGAAGAACAACCAGATCTATGTCTAGCCCTGAATCACCGCTTCTTTTATTTATCTGACCAATTCGGACGCAACGGTAAACGATGAACAACCGGATCTATGTCTAGGCCTGGCATGTCTTGGTGTGACTAAGCGAAAACATCTACGTAGCTCTGAATAAAACTTATCATGGCGAACCTCTGCTCTCAAGATAATGCAGTTCCGATCTTCACCTCCTCTTCTTTGGACTTCCATTGACAAATTATTTAGTGGTGTGTTGGGTTGGGAGCACACTCATCCAATGTTCACAAGAGTTTTTGGTATCAAATCCTCTTTTCTTGTTTTTTTTTTTTTTTTGTCACTTATGTTTTCTCTTTAAGAAAAAAAATTAAAGAAGAGTGGGATTCAAACCCTACCTAATACAAGACAAGAAGCCGAGTTTTTCTCTTTAAAAATGGAACATTATTATATAGAAAATTGTTTCATGGTCTGGACCGTATTTCTACATATAAGGTCCATAAAGTGTAAAGCATCGGTGTTCCATCTAAAAACAAAAGAAACTAAGGGTTCAGATGTTTTTTTACTAGAATTATTATTTTGACTTTTAATTTTTAATTTTTTAATTTTTTCATTTCATGATCTTCATGTTAAAGATTACATATCTTTAAAAATTAAGTCTTAAAATCCATCTCAAAAATAAATTTATTAAGAGGCCCACATTTCTACATATGCGAGCTTGGCTGCATAGAAATCACATCCTTATATATATAACCATCGAGCATATATGTAGAGTGTACCCGGGGCAAACTGCCACATCCATAGGACGAGTCCAAGTATACCTAGATGAGTCTCGAAACATTGGATTATTTAAAATTTTAATTTTGATTTGAAGATTTCAAGAAAAATATGAAAAAAAGAAAACAAATCATCTTGAAAACTACCAAAATCATCTAAAATCTTATTTCTAACTAATATTGTTTTCTCAATTTTTAATATTTTCTTTTTTATATGTTTTTACCCCATTTATAAGGATGGGGCAGGGGCGAGTTGCTTTAGAACTTGCCCCCTACTCAACCTCACCAATAGGGTGAGTCACTTAAGGCTGGTCTTGACTGCAGGATAACCCACCAAATACTAGAACAAACAACGGACTAAGTTTTATAAAACAAAGTAAAGCCTCATTGCGAGTCATCATTTGAAAATAATTTAAGCATCAGAAATCTCTATAGTAGCTTAAAATCAATTCACAAAAATTGAAATTTGAAGTTCAAAAACTAATGAAATTTTTACAATCTACGAACAATCATTTTTAACGCAAATTCGACAGTACTCTGTTACATTATCTATTATATTTAGCATTTGACATTTTTTTTTTTTTCACAAACATAATCGTCTAGGTAGGGATGATATTTGCCACCAAAATTACAGTTTTTGGTAATTTTTTGAGGTGACGCTCAACTTAGTTTGATTTGAGCGCCACCCTATAAAAACATTTTGAAAATTAATTTGTGTGAGGCGGCCTGTCTCCTGACAAGTGACGCAACTTCTAAAACCACCACAAAATGTATGAAGAAAAAGGGCATTAAATATCGTACTGCTATTGCAGCAATAATGAAGTCAAATAAGGCAAGCAAAAAAACAATAATTGAAGATAAAACAAAATAAAACAAAGGACTATAAGAAAGAGAGGATAAGAACAAGAGAAATAAGTGATTTTATTGTAAGATTGAGGCGCCATGAATGGAGTGGTGGTAGATGGAGCTGCAACAATTCTGTTATGTGCTCTTCATCTTCTTCTTGTGTGTATTGTTGAATGTGCTCCTGATGGTGCAGAGGTGCTTCGATTTCCTGGCTTTGATGGCGATCTCCCTTCCAAGCATTATGCAGGGTTGGTTCTTCTCTCCCTTTTTTTTCGTTTGGCTTCTTGACTTGTGATGAGCCTCTCTCTCTCTACCCTTAATTGAATTTCCATGTAACCTTTCTCTCTCTCTCTCTTTGCATATACAATTGTAATGGGAAAGTCTTCCCTTTCAATCATGATATTATTATAGAGTGAATTACTCTAAATTTTTTTTCTAAAATATGAAATACTCTATTTATAATTCTAAAATAAGAAATTATAAGTGGAAATCACAGAGAAAGTTAACAAATTACATTCAGACCTTCTTTGATGACCTGTTTCTAAAAAAAAAATGTTGTGTTTTTTTAGTACCTGACAGCTCTCACATACATTTCCCCTATATTTTCAAAAGAGTTCCTTTATTGGATTCGTTCACGCATTGAACTCCATATTTCCACTCTCTTTCTCTCTCTCTTCCCTTTCGATCTCTTTGCATTTCTCTCGCCTCTCTCTCTCTTCCCTTTCGATCTCTTTGCATTTCTCTCGCCTCTCTCTCTCTTCCCTTTCGATCTCTTTGCATTTCTCTCGCCTCTCTCTCTCTTCCCTTTCGATCTCTTTGCATTTCTCTCGCCTCTCTCTCTCTAGAAATGGCAGCTCGTAGAGATCTGAGACAACTAGCTTCTGTCTCTAGAAATGGCAGCTCGTAAAGCTCTGGGACAACTAATGCACAGCCTAACCAGACCGCTGAATCCCAGGCCCACCTCCGTTTACACAAGCAAACTCCCGAAAGTCGCCGGAAAACCTGCCGATTTCCAGTGAGAAGCAAAGTTTTGGGCGATTTTGGCAGCACCGAGACATTTTCAGGTGTCCACCTCGCCGGAGATCTTCTCCCTCACCTTGGGCGACATGCTCATGGAGAAGATCAGGAACCAATATCTCTCTGTCTCTGACAGATGCCAGCAGATTCGAAGATTGGAACCAAAATTTAACTTCTTTGGCCTCCCTCTCTCTCAATCGAAATCCACAGAAGCCTCACCTGTTAATGTCATGGCAGAGCAAAGAAATCAGGCTGGAATGAGAGCCACTGAAATCCTTCTCTCTATAAAACCCCATAAAACTACTTTTCTTGATACCCCATTTCCACCAATTCCACCCACCAGTCAGTTAGTACATGTGTGTGGCCATGGGCATGTGTGTGGCCATGGGCCTTTAAATGGTACAATATTTCTCTATCTTTTAATTTAATGTTTATCACTATAAAAAGAATGACTTCTTAGAGAGAGAAAGTACCGTTATCTCACGGCTAAAAAGTAATCACCCACTTCTTAAGATTACAAGATTACCAGGCTATATTTTTTTTGAGAGATTTGAGGAGGAATCCGAATGTTGGAGAATGGCTTCCTCCATCCCTCGGTACATTGAAATTTACAGAGTTCTCATAGTTTTCCATCCCTCGGTACATTGAAATTTACAGAGTTCTCATAGTTTTGGTAAAAGCCTGATCTTTGCAATCGATAGTCTCACGACACTGCAGCCTAATCTTTGCAATCGATAGTTTTACGATACTGCCCCTAATCCTAGGAGTGGGTCCATTTCTTTCCTCAAGTTTTTCAACATTGGTACTAGAGCCGTTTGTGGAAGCATGGTGGGCTCGTAACCTACCGTTCCCAGGTTCCATTATTTATTTATTTATTTTTTATTTAATTCTTGCTCATAACCCATAGGTCCCAGGATCGAAATCGATTATTTGGTTTCTTGTGAGTTTGTATTTTATTGAACAATATCTCTCTTAATTTTTTTTTTTATCAGTTCTCTATTTACGTTGCTGAAATTTGTCATCTCTGATAAAGTTGATTTCATAAGCCATGAGTCAATTTATTATTTATTCGTTATTATCTCTAAGATAATTGTTCCCTTGTTGGGTTTATCTTATTGTTGTAAAAATTAGCTGAAATCCTTTGATATCAATCTGTTGCTATTTTCTCTCATAAATTATTATACCTTTCATAAGTTAATAGGCGTACTTTGTTAAAGCAACAAAAGTAGACGCACTTTGATTTAAACCATTTGCACTTTTGATATACGCACTTTGTAAATAGGACATTTCTATCGAAAGGTAGAGAGAAACAAATCACATATTTTTTACTCTCTCTTGGCCTTTATTTCTTGCTCATTTTTTATCAAGGTAACATTTCTATCAAGGTAACATTTTTTTTTAATGCTGATTTTTTGTAATTTTTTTTTGTATGCCGCTGTGTAACCAAATTTTTTTTTTTTGAGGCGAACTTTTTCAATAGAAATCGTTGTTGATGGTTATAAATAAAAAAATAAAAAAAAAATAAATAAAGAAAAGGTTGCTGAAATTTTAGAGAGAAAGATAAAGACACACATAATTGCTGAAAATCGGTTGGCTTGCACCTTTCTTTCTTCCATATTTTATAGCTGAAAATTTGTGCATAATTTTATTGGATTATTGAAAATTGTTGTGCACACAACAACTATTCAAGTAAAGGTTCTTATACTAATTGCATGCATTTTTTTTTTACGACTTATAATTTAGGGATTTACTACATATTTTATTTGCATAATAATTGTCATTACATTGCATAATTATCCTATGTTTCGGTCTTTTTAAGTTATAAAATTTCATGATCTTGATTTTGTGAATACATTATTTCTATGATTATGCAATGCCATATTTTTGTTGAAAATATCAAAATACCATTGGAGACTCTCTCTTTTGTGCTAAAACATATTCATATATTTATGAAACTTATTTTTATGCAAGATTTGACATAAAGTAGTTGTTGCCTTACTTTATTAATTTTTTGTTGCATCACAGCAGTTCGAACATAAACTGTTCGAGAAATTTTTTTTTTTTTGAGGTCCCAGCTCACTGAGAGTCAGCAAACCTATTGAGTTAACTGGCAAACAACCCTTTCTTAAACACAATTAAATTTTTTTTTTTTTTGGGAACTTTTAGGTATTATCTAAAAATTTAAAATGGCATCTAGGCTAGTCATGTCAGAACTATCCAAACTTGAAAAACTCAATGGGACCAATTTTTCTATGTGGAAAAGAAAAATTGGATTTATTCTTTTTCAAGATAGTGTAGATTATGTCCTAGAAATCGAACCATCAGTTTTAGAGCCTAATGCCATTGGTTAAGCCAGAAAGCGACTTGAAAAATGGTTAGAAGATGACAAAGTAGCTAGGATTACTATGTTGAGCTTTATGGAAGATGATTTAATTAGATTCTTTGAGGATTACACCGCAGCTCAAAGTATGATGGGCGCCCTATCTGAAAAGTATAGGACCACTTCTGAAACCCATGTATAATTGTTGTTAGAAAAGTACAATTCTTGCAGAATGAAAGAAACGGATTCAGTGACCGAGCATTTCAATAAAATGACAGTGCTCGCAAAGGACGTTGCTGCAGTTGGTAATCCAGTCCCCGATCGCATTCAAGTGTCCATTGTCCTTAACAGTCTCCCTCCATCTTGGGAATCTGTTGTAATTGCATTGAACCATTCTGCACAAGGAATAACCATGTTAAATCTTCCCATGCATCTTAGTATTGAAGTTGAGAGAAGAATGAGGAAGAAGTCAACTGAGCTCCACCTTGTCCAAAGTTCAAATTTTCAAATCCCCAAGAAACCGTTCAATTATCAAAAAAATAATAGGTATAAGGGAAATGGGAGAAATTTTAAAAATCAAAAGAATAAGGTTGAGAAGACCTGTTTTTATTGTAAAGAAATTGGGCACATCAAGTTTAATTGTCCTAAGCTGAAAAATAAAAATAGGAACCAAAATAACAACCCAGCTCGAAATAATCAAAATAAGATAAAGGACTTGATCTACGTAGTCCTAGAATCAATAGTTGTCGATCATGACCTGAGAAATTGGTGGGTCGACTCAGCCTCCACTCTACATGTATCGAGGACCACGGACGGATTCACATAATTGGAAGAGATTGCAGCTGGTAACCAGTGGATTTATATGGGAAATGACACCTATTACGATGTACTAGGTGTTGGTACTTTCAAGCTATTTTTACCATGAGGAACAAATTTCTTATTGACTGATACATTAATTGCGCCCAATATAAGGCGCAATTTGATTTCTGTCCCTAGGCTAGACGACAAGGGTTATGAAATAAGGTTTAGGTGTGGTCGGGTTACTATTGGGAAGCATTTTAGAGCTTTGGTGTATGATACTAAAGTTAACAATTTGTACCGACTGAATATTAATGAAAGTTCATCATTTTCTGGTTATATTGATGCTTCTTTTGATGTTTTTGTGTGTATGGATGATCCATATTTATGGCACTTAAGATTAGGACATATAAATAAAGACAAAATGAATCAAATGGTTAAAAGAGGCTTGCTCCCCAATTTAAGAGAAATTGTGTTCAAAACATGTGAGCCATGTATTTCTGGTAAATTAACGAAGAAGCCTTTTCCTAAAGGGAAAAGGTCTAGTGAACTACTTAGTATTGTTCACTCTGATATATGTGGCCCATTAAATGTAAAAACACATAGAGGTATGGAATATTTCATAACATTTATAGACGATTATTCACGTTATGGATATGTATACCTAATTAGCAAGAAATCAAATGCATTAGAAACATTTAAAGAATATAAAGCTGAGGTAGAAAATCAGTTAGGTAGACTTATTAAAATTCTTCGAACAGATAGGGGAGGTGAATATTGTTTCGCTTTATTTTCTGAATTTTGTAAGGAGCATGGTATAATTCACCAAACAACTATGCCATATACACCACAACAAAATGGTTTAGCTGAAAGGAGAAATAGAACTCTAATGGACATGGTTAGGTTCATGATGAGCCATTCAAATTTATCACCTCATTTTTTGGGTGAAGCTCTCAACACTGCAATATATATCATTAATCGTGTTTCAATTAAATCTATAGACTTCACCCCATATGAATTATGGACAGGTAGGAAACCTGACCTTACTAGCTTGAAAGTTTGGGGTTCTTGGGCATATGTATTTATACCACCACAAAATTGAGATAAATTACGAAGTAAAACTATAAAATGCTTTTTTATAGGCTATTCAAAAAATTCTAAAGGGTATAAGATTCTATAACTATGATACTAATTCATTAGTAGAGAGTCGTGATGCTCATTTCTTAGAAAACATAGATGATGAAAATATTTTAAATGAGCATATTGATTTACATGAAATTGATAAAGATAAGGGTATGGAAGATCCTGTTTCTCAGACTCCTACATTTGCTGAGAATGATTCAATTGAATCAAGTATACCAGATAGGCCTAAAAGAACTAGAGCCCCACCTACGACTTTAGAAGAATTTTATGTATTTATGAATGAAGATAATTACTCTTCAATGATTGAAGATACAATAGATGAACCTCGAAGCTACAATGAAGCTATTAGCTCACATGACTCAGCTGAGTGGACTCAAGCCATGGATGATGAACTTGATTCTATTAAAAGAAATCAAGTCTGAGAGTTGGTTGACCTCCCTAAAGATGGAAAAGCCATCGCTTGCAAATGGGTCCTAAAGAAAAAGCTTAATGCAAATGGATCCATTGATAAATATAAAGTTAGGTTGGTAGCTATTATGCATAAACTTATTCTCCAATAGCCAAATTTTCATTATTAAGATCATTCTTGCATTAGTTGCATATTATGATCTAGAATTATTTCAGATGGATGTCAAAACAATTTTCTTAAATGGATTAAAAGAAGATATATACATGAAACAACCAGAAAGATATGTAATTAAAAGTCAAGAAGACAAAATATATAAACTTAAGAAATCTTTATATGGTCTAAAACAGTCTTCTAGGCAATGGTACTTTACTTTTCATAATGCAATCACTAAAATTGGTTATATAGCCAATAGGTTAGACCATTGTGTATATATTTAGAATAGTAGAAGCAATTT